CTCAACCAACCAAAGAAGGATGCGCTTGTTTTCCCATGGCCACTCGCAATCTGATTTAAAGGGACGAGGCAAAAGCACCACCTTTTTTGAGAAGGTCCCCGAGTTTGACACATACCCAGGTGGTTTCGGATATTGGGAAACTGAAGGGGAATCACAATTGAGGATTCATCCAATTATTTGGGGTGCCCCCCTCCAGGGGTGGCCCCCCTACTTTGCGTTTCACAGGCACACCAACAAGCTTCTATTCGCGTGGAATTTGGTTGCTAATAGCAAACTATGAGGGCGGAGTGGAAGTACTGCTAATAACACGCTAATAGCAAGCTATTTGTCATTTATTCTATTAGCACGCTCAGGTACCAGAGGAACTGATTCCAGTGTCACCAACTGATCCAACTTGAGCGAGGTCCAAGATCACACTTGAAGTCTGATTCGCCGAACCCACAGTCAGTAGCCGCCATTGCTTAAAGCATTGAACGGTATGTGTAAATTTCGCGGATGCACCCGGCGAATACATTTAGACCATGAGAAGCCGCGTCAAGAAATCAATCATTTCGTTGATGACTTTCTTGAGGCCTCCATGTGCTTGAATACGTATAATTTTGGGCGCATCGAGAAAGCAAGCCTAAATCCGCGGCCCCCTTTCCGAGTGTCTTCGTTTCTGGCACATGGTCACTTCGAACGAGTGCATGCCCGCCCAGGTATGCAACACAAGGCTGGCAAGCGGCTTGGTCTTGGGTGGACATCTCCCAGTTCTTCAGGCGAAGTAGTCTAAGTCTAGGTTGCACCCTTCCTGCAAATCGCCTTGGTTGTTGCTTGGAGCCTGAAGGTGTGGGTTTGGGGGAAGCATCTGCCGGAAGCGGCCTGGACAAGGATATGAACAGGTAAGGCCCAAGTCCTTGGACCACAAAGTCCGAAGAAGTTGAGGCTGGCAAAAAGGAAATTCAGGTTTCTCCTTGCTCAAAGCACTTCCCCAGATTAACAGGGACAGTCTTCAATGACAAAGCATCGTAGAACCCACAAAAATAACGGGATTTTATTTCGGGACGCAGGGTACAATGAACCAACCATATCCAACCACAACGCCGGGTCATTTTCCGTCACAGGAGTTCGCCTGGGGTTTCGCTGGACAAATCGATGTGTTGTTGGACTTGATATATGGGTCTCAAGATAGGTGACCCAAACAAATCATGGGAAGTAGGGGGAGGGCGGGAGGGGGCGAGGCCAAACAATAAGGCAACATAAAAAGTAGTGTGATTTCATGTTCCGGGTCAAAATAGGGCTTAACAAAGGTTGCAAGCAGCTGACCAGAATAAGCCTGAACTAAGGTAACAGCAAAAAACATGTCCAGAGTGGACTGGGTGTTTTCCATTTCGCAACTGGGTGTTTTGCTAGCTGGCGCTTCTTTAAAGGTAGACAGAAGGTGGGCATAAGGATGGAAAAGGCGTATAATTAAGGAGTATGTTGGCCTTATTTCGGCTGAAGTTACGCAAAGTGAAGCGTCACCGCCCAGCACAGCATGTTTCCGACTGCTTTAATTAGGTTTTTGTTTGTCTTAAGCACAAATATATAAGCCTTATGCTAAATTGCCTTGTTAAAACATGATGAAACATTCCCCGTACTTCTCGTGAAACATGGATTTCAGTTTCCGCTTGGTTTCTTTTAACAAAAACACACCCTGTTTCGAAGACTATTTTAGTTGCAACACAACAAGGGCGAAAGACAATCCAGGAAGTGAGTACATGGTGGTGGTCCCATGAGGGCTCCCTTTTTGAGATGAAACGTTTGGGCGTGGGTGTGCTTGCCATGCAAGCCCATTCCCCAGTTGAGGCTCTCGGTCTGTCACACTCGAGCGGATTGGGTTTGTGCATCTTCTTGAGGCCAAACGCTTCATGAAGCATGGCCCGGAAGATGCTTAGGATCCCTAGTCCACTTGGGAAAGCGTTCAGTTGGCAGCAATCAACAGTCACCATCGTCTACTGTATATATTACACTTCCAAGTTACTGCAAGAAAACTTGGGTTTGGGGTTTTCCACAGTCCATGTCCATGTCACGTGAGTAGTACCGCGCATTTTTTGCCGGCGGCTCTCAACGGGAACTCGGTTGCCCTTCGGCTCGCCTCGGCGCAGGAGCGGCCTGTGTCGCAGGGCCAGGCACCTTTGAAGCCGAGCGTTGGGTCAAAACTGTTTTGGGATCCCATTTTGGGCTGGGTGAATTCACCACCCATTTTAGAACCTATAGTGGTTGGATTGGGATGTTGGGCTTTTGACCCATGGCCATTTTGGTTCACTTTAAAGGTCCCAGATGAGCCTTGCTCAAATTCGGGGTAATTGGAGGGTAGTAAGGAAGAATCCCCGCCATAAATAGCTGCCGCCTTCTTAATTCTTGAAGCATGGTTCTGGGTCGACCATTTTTGTACCAGGTTTTGATTTTGAGCCAGATGAACCCTGGGCTCAGTTTACAGTAAGTTGGTGTTCAACCATTTTTCGGTCCACTTTGGGGTTCAGGTCTCATTCTTGTGCCTTTTCTTTCAGAGTCCTTGCAGGTGAGTTCCCCATTCTCTTCATCCATGGTTCTTTTTTAACCGATTTTCGTTGGGGATTGGCACATTGCTGGAAGAGAAGGATCCTGAACAGAATGGAGAGGGTACAGCCAGACCCCTCCCAAACACATGGGTTTATCCCACGTGGTGTAGACCAAAGAGAAACAGCCCAGCTTCTCAAACATTTGGCAGACAGCTGTCCTTGGCGATTCTATGCATTCCTGGTTTGGGAGGGTCAGCTGAATGTTTGGGCAGCAGCTCTTTGCTGTGCGAGCCGGCTTTTGGTTCATGTCGAGTCCACTCTTTATCTCTTTCTGGATGGCTTAGGTATATTGGTTTGAAGCGTCTTGCCGGCGAGTTGGGCGTTGAAAGGGAGCTTGTGGGGAAGCCTGAGCCATCAGCCTTGGCTGTTTGCCTTCAGGAAAATTGAGGTCTGCGTAGGGTGACCTGTCCCCTTGCAGAGTGCATCTTTGTATCCCCTTGGCACTTGCCGCAGTCGGGGCTGACGCGTGGGGTTGCCTCAAGTCGCTGGCTTCTGCTTTTCGTTTCTCTTTTCCTCAACGGTGCTCCGCGCTGAATCATGGACCAGGCTTGTAAGTTCCAAGGCCACAGAAGAAGTTACAAAAAGCCGTCAACGTGACCATGCCTCATGTTAGCAGAAGTCACAAGTCGCCCTCCAACCGGATGGGCTTCATGGATCTTCAGGTCTTTGAGCAACGGCCAATATATTGTCATCTATTGTAGAATAGGGGATAACATTCACTGACACATGAGTAATATTGACTATATGGCTGAAATAAACATGAACCAAGAAGCGCGCCACATGATAATCTTTCGAATGTGCGTGGTGCTTGGCATTGACCATGCCAACGCCCACTGCCAATTCCAGGCAAGGGGCAACACCATTGCTCGACTGGGCTCTTCATGTTGACAACACGACAGGATACCGTCTCCTTAAGGTGCGTGGTGTGACCAGGGTTTGCAGGCAAACTCGGTATGCCCGTCACTCGGACAAAAACATGCCTTTGGAGCTTTGCACGGATCCGATGCGTGGCTTTTCACTGCGTTTCGCGGGCGTTTCCGATTCACTTGCAAGGCGCAAATCAGATCTACGCACCGCTCAGATTCCGTCACCAGGACCCGTTGGCCATTTAGTAGCTGATTCCAAAATTTGGACTACAAGAAGGCCCGCCTAAGCCTTGATATCCATCTTAGGAGCAACAGTCAGTGGATTTTGTCAACGGCTTGGGTTACAGGAACATCTACAGGAAACAGCTGATTTACGCTGTGTTGGGGCCATTTCCTGAAACGAATTTCCTGTAACCGACCCCTTTGAATTTGGTTGCTGCTCATGCGTTTGCTTTCCGAACAGGTGCCGGGGTGGTCGCTGCGCTATTGCGAGCTCTTGGGTGTCGGGCCTGCGCCATTGCAGCGCAGGCGTCGGGCCTCGAGACCTTCTGGCGAATTGTTTGAATCGTTGCCATGGCCATGGGTTCCACGTGTAGAAATCTAGGTCCCCCAGTAGTGCCCTCTTTTGTTGGCCCAGTCCCCCGGCTAGGTGCCCTTTCTTAACCTTTTTTGTTTTTGTTTGGGAGGGTTCCCCTACTAAAATAGACTACAGAAAAATATAGGGTGCCCTTATTCTAACCTCTCAAATCTGGAGGACCTAGACAGCAAGAGGTACTCTCCGAAGCCCGAGGAAAACTCTTACAAACTTAGGGAGGGCATGTTTCACGTTTGCGAAAACCACTGGGCCCCTGACTTGGTTTTGTTGGTTGGATTCCCTTACCCCAACATCCCCCTGACTTTGAGACGACGTACTGTGGATGGACGGAATCCATTTCGCACCATGGTTGTTGTTGTTGTTTTTGTTCAGGGGAATCCTCATGCCGTTTTTTTTTTTTAGGTGGTGCAAGAGATCGTCCATCCACAGTAGTTATTATATGTATTATGCAACAGGAACTGCCGATCATATTCGGGGATGCTGTTAGAGATTGCTTGTTTTTGGTTCAGTGGTGTCTTCGCAGCTTGACTCGTGTCCCTTCCCTTACATGGGTACCTTACCATGCCTTGCCTTTGGTGACCTGGCCAACCCCTTCCACAAAGAGTGCCTACCTGGAGGTACCTGAACATGGACCTAGGTTTGCCCCAAGGCATTCCAGCACTGAGACTCGAACCATGTCGGTGGGGTTGAGCTGTCAGTTCTTTGGGATCTCCTCTTGTTGGCGCACGTTCTATTTTCCAATCGCTGACGCATTCATCGAGACTTCAGACGGTTGCGAACCCCAATTCCAAGAAGAGAACGTTGTCTACTGTTGAACAACCGTATCTTTGAGGCTTGTGCCATGCTTCTGCTCTCGCTGCACAAGAGTGCACACCCAGCCAAGTGCAACACTCTGACCACTTTCCGCGGCCGTTTGTCCTCAAGTTTAAAGGTTTTAAGCCTTGCGAGTGATTCATCATGGCCGGATACAAAGAAGAGACAGCCAAGCCATGCTGCGAGTGCAAGGCCTCTCCACCGACAATTTGGCAACAGTTTAGTTGCGTGCTGCTTGTCCGTTAGTCAGCATTTGAATCGTGCTAATTCTCTTCAGGAGTCGTTTGGGAAGCATTCCGTTGTTTGTTGAGCACTGTGCGCAACAAGTTATCCCAATTCCACATGGCTGTGTGCAGCCCAAGCTTTGAGGGCAAGTCAAGCGGTCTCGTTCGCTTCAGAGAACTGAGGCGGAGGATACCTGCACCTTCCCATCGCCTCTGGAGGCCATGAAGGGCGCTGCGAAGGAGCCAGCTGCCATAGGTTTAGAGCGCGTTTGGCGTTTTGATACCTACAGAGGATGAAGGACACCAACCGGCAATCAGTCATTTTGGGGGTTCCGAATTATGAGACATAGCCGTCCGAGGGAAAGATCTGGGGGGAAGTGCTGGTGCAAACTTTGTTTGAAGTGGGGAACCAAGACAATTTGAAGTGCTTTTGGGTCAATAGAGCATCCTTTTTGTTCGAGGAGGTCCCTCAGCCGACTTTGATTACGTGGTTGAGACTGGGTACTGTAATACACTTTCGCACCACTTTCAACACCTATTTTACGCAAAGAGCTTCAGTGGTTTCCTTCTCAACGTTCCGATTCTTCCCTTGGTAGCAATGGTAATGGGTCTGAGATAGCCCGGTGTTCGAAAGCCGTCATTTTTGCGCCTGGCTACTTGCGGCAGGCTTGACCCACGTGCCTTGTGAATATGGGTGTTGTTCAAGATGTGGGACTATCCAAAAAGGGTTCTCCTATTTTGACACACACACACACATGTGTGTTTCCAGAGGAAGGTGATTTGCGAGGCGTGATTTAATTATGTCAGGAGTGTTGTCCATGCTTTCAGCACGGCGTGCAGCGGCACCATTTGCGTTTCTGTAGTCGCGGCCAAAAAACATGCGGCGCTTGACAATACGCCGTGAAACCATTGCCACTCAACCATGATGAGGGTATGGGCGGGTTAAAATTAATCCACCAGGGGATCACCTGGGCAACCCATTTTGGGTTCCTATTTTTGACCCACAGCCATCAGGAGAAATTGATGTACATCCCGGCAGTCAACATTGAGGACACCAAGACGAAGCCGGATTATATGGCCACAGTGGATCCTGGGCGCATGTGACAAATTGGTTGGTGTTAACATTCATTTGGGGAGCAATCTTCTTCATGTGCCCCCTCTTCAGGATTCAATGTTCTGCTTATTGTCTTGTGACGAGCTAACCTCAAGGTAAAACGGGCTTACCATGGGTCGTTCACTTGGAGATCCCATTTGTCGAGTTTAGGAATCATCATACGATTTGCAGTATCCGGCAAACATGGACATTTTCAGGTGCAAAGCCCTCCTGCGGGAGATCCAGACTTCTCCAATGAGTCCCTTTGATTTCTTGAATGTATTTTTCAGGTGAGTGACATGGCCATGGGTCAGAATCCCGCACCCCCAGTGAACATCCCAATCCCCACTGAAATAGACAAAGCTGGGTGGTGCACAAATGGTACCATTGGTTTTGACCCACAGCCACATGGCTGGAAACCCTGTCCGATTCCAGAGCCAAATAGTTTTTGGTTTTTTCCTCCGAGGGAGCCGCAAGCTGGGCTGGAAATGGCCCAAAAGAAATCGAAAGAATGGACTATCTTGTTTGTCAGGGGTTCCTCCATTTCACTTTTTGGAATTTCCAAAGGTGGCAGTTTGAATGGACGGCAACATCAAATTGCAACTTTTGAAGGGGAAATCCAGTGACCTCTGTTGGTTACTGGATTGTATTGGTAGTTTGGGGAATGAGAAACAATATTCTACCTCCAAACCACCAATCCAAACCACCAATTGAAGGGAAGCTGATTATGTGCATCAGGAGTGCGTTGATCCATGTGTTAAACCAGAAGCAGGCAGCTCGTGTTTTTTGCACGCCGTTCGATCCATGCACTTGTGTGGCTCACAAATGGTAACCTAAATGGCACCTTGGCATTTGGAACCAAAGGCGAAAACCTGCGTAACCCCATCTCCTCAATTTTGAGCCACACCCAGATTGTGGTTTGACTCGGTTTGACCTATGCAAATAGGCTTCTACAAGAACCAGTGCCAATGCAAGTCGAGCTCTTTGATTTCAAACAAGAACTGGTGTTTAAACACCCAATGGAATTGTTTATGTTGAGGGCTTTCTTAGGTTGCTTCCAAGGGACGCCAAAGGGACCCGGCTCCCTGGTGTTCAATGACACAGTCAAGGGCTCTGATTTGGGTTTCCGTTTTGGGTGGTCTTTTTTGCCTCAGAAGATAGTGATTGAAACAGGATCCAGGGGCTTCCCTTTCCTATACTTTATCAAGCATTTTTTTCCAACCGTTTCCCCTTAAGCTTCGTCTTGCTTCCATGTTGAGAAGGGTAGAACACCCGTTTCTGTTCGTCGCCAACTGATGGCTGTTGAGTTGGTTCCCCCCAATAGGAACTCGAGAGCCGCAATCAGAATCTGTGCAAAGGGTAGACAGTCCAAGTCATAGGTGTGGGAATTGGGGAACCGCCCTCGCTTTTCTTTGTTACCACGCTTCGGTGCTATGTGGATCTTTGACCATTCACTTTTTTGGGTTTTTCCCAGGACCCCAGCAAGAACATGATATATCAAAAAAAGAACCGTTTGCGCAGAGGGCCTCTTGCCTCAAAGACTGTAGCACCACAAGTGAAGACTGAGGACGTCGACCCGGAGAGCCCTTCCTACTGCCAAGTGATCCACCGTCTGTACATGCCGGTGGTGGGAGACGAGCTGCACCATGTGGGCTGGAACGCCTGTGCCAGCTGCCCGTTCCGAACGAGAAAGAACTCGCCCGGGCTCTTCCCTAGAACTAGCTCCCCTTGTTGTTTTTTTGCTTTTTTGGAACTGGTCCCTTTGTTTTCCACCAACCAGGCAAACAAGATCAGCTCTTGCTGGGGTCCGAATTCCAGCCTGGGGTTGCCCAGTGGATTTCGCCCCCTTTCAACTTGTTTTGGGGAAGGGTTCACTTTTTCCTTTACACTCCACCAACCCAACAACTCGGTGTTTTGGGGAAGGGGTCCCTTTTCCCTGAAACTCCACCAACCCAACAACAAAACTGGATGCCGTTTTTTGTTTTTCCCCCATGGAAAAAAGATCTGGGCACCTGAGGTGCTGGTGCGGCTTTGGGAATGTGACGGGAGCTTCAGGAAACCACCACTTGGATTGTTAAGCATCATTCCCTCTCCTTCCCTGCCTATCTTCTTCATCAAGTTGAAGACGTTTGATGCAAGTGGAGGGAGTGGGGGGGGGAGCTTATAGCCTTGGAGTTGTTGACACGTGGTTTTCTCGGTTTGTGCCTTTGGGTGGGTATTCCTTTTCTGGACATTCGCTTCATCGGGATCTCCGTGCCACCCTTTTGCTTTTTGGACCTCTCTTGGAAAAACAGGGGTCCCGATCCTGCTTTGAACGCACCAGCCTGAGAGGATCCTTGCTTTTCACATCCAAGGAGAACCCCCGAGTATAGCATAGTATAACCTGTTGCCAGGTCTCTCGCAACACCCTGTGTTCCGAACGGTGTTGTTTGTGTTCCTTGTCTTGGCTTCGTTTTGATTTTTCTGCGGGCCGGTTGTCCATTGCTTTCCACAAGACCCATGGATTTCCCAACCTGCGAAAACGGGTTCCACCGTCACCAAAGCTGGGATCTCCAAGACTATTCTAGTGAACATTTTTTGTAGGGTAGACTAAATACGGACGTGATGTTTTTTTTTGTGTTTTATGGGATCCTCAAATGGTGGAAAAAAGGGTCTGCCCCTAAAACAGGGTTGCGGCGCCTGTAACGCGCCGTGGGCCTGCGTCATTTGGGAAGCGCTGCCGTCGGACATGCCGTACAAAAACTGAGGAAAAATGCTGATTCTGGACAAAGGGACCAAATGACAGCCGCAAAAACACTGGAGGCTTGTCTCGAAATGCTGCGATTACTGCTTTTTTGCAAGGTTTCAGCTACATTTAGGGGACATGCTGTGCACAGGCCAAAGTTTCGTTGGACATTTCATGTGCTTCTGCCCGGACTTTTTTCTGCCCATTTCATATGCTGCAGCTCCAGCTAGTCTCGCATTGCCTTTCCCAAGGCAAAGAACAAGGTGTCCTTCTTCTGGGACCTTCGCCACATCCAGGCGTGCACGAACTTCATAAAGCCATCCACATTCATCCATCCTTTCTGTCGGTTGTTGAGTTCCTTGGGAACTGCCATCTTGAGTCGATGCCACAGCCGATCCAGAGTTTGTGTGCCAGAGAGCTTGACGCCGCTGGTCTTCCGAATTGTGGCAGTGAACTGGCTTCGGGAATGCACCACTTCCCTCCACTTCAACCGTTTGCCGGGGCATGAGGCACGGTGGGCTGCCTTGTACGCCTGTGCGCCGTCTGTGAAGCACGTGCTGCCAGACTGAGCACATTTCAAAATGCCAGATGACACCACTTCTGCAGTCGACTCGACCGGCGGCTTCCCTGCCGCGGGCACCAAGCGAAGAGGAAGGGGCCGCACTGCAAACTGGCCGCTTCCCCGCTTGCAAACTCCCACCACGCGGAAGTACAGCAGGAAATGGCGAGGAAGGCGAACATGTTTGCGGCGCTTGCGCCACTCTTCTACCAAGCCCTGATACTTTTTCGAGGCAGGTCCCACGGAGAGAGGTGCAGTCGAACTCCAAAGGCCCTTGCATGCACAGGCGTGCGTTCGACCTCTTCCCCAAGGTCGACTCACGCTCTCGGCAAGCTTGGAGAATTGCTTGCACTGGCTTGTATGTGCTTCCCACCTGTCGGGCTAACTTGTAGGCAGAAACTGGCTTGTCCAGCAATGCTGCTGCATGTCCGCGCAGCACCTCGTGAACCTGCATGGGGCTGAGGGAATTCCGCTTTGCACGAGGCCACCACTTTGCCTTCGTGAGGACATTGAACTCCGCCCGGCAGTCACCATCTATGCATC